AAATACATTAAGCCTCATTATCACCCAAAATTTTGTAAAAGAGAAGATGACAACACCTAAATCTATGTAAACGTTAAAATAATATATAGAAAATAGTTAAATCAAATGCCACACTTTTTACACTTATTCTGCAGTTTCCAAATAATAATCAAATTAGCCACAAATCACCAAATATATCAAAAAAACGAAAAGAGGTTACTTGAGGCCCAATGTACGAAGTTATACCATATTAGTAGGCGAGAATATGAGGATTCTTAATATTCTTTTCACATCCTCATGGTTTAAAGCCCTTCCATGTTATCTCCTCAAATCAACTCGTAAACTCTTTGATCACATTCTTCTAGACTCGTAAAGTCTTCTTCTGCGATATGGCCATCTTTTACTTTTCCTCTTTTGAAATACATTTTCATGTTATTTTTAAACATGGAAACAAAAAAAGAGTAGGATTAGATAACAAATTCCTTTCAATCACAAAAGTAGAAATAATATGAAGAGATATCTTATTGCAAAGGAAAGACCTAAAAGAAGCACAAACCGAAGAAACGTGCTAAAATCAATAGAGAAGAACAGTATTAACGTCGTACAAATTCTCTTTTAATGAAAAATATGCAGATATAATATGATTAGAGAATTACCTAGTAGAAAGGGTAAAATTATGGGGAAAATCGAAAATAAAGAAGAATTGTTAGAATAGCAAGGAGTAATCAAAGACCCTATGTCAGTCAACAAAAAAAAAAGATTTAAAAACCATAAGTAGATATTGAATATTGAAACATAAGTAGATTAAACACCGTCAACTACACTATTAATATGTCATGAATTTATTAAGCACGTACCGATCAATTGTAAATCATGAGATTACTTACCCAGAGACGTCGGAGAAAACACAAAAATTAGCTCGGAAGAAAAGAGTTTCCATAGAAAGATAAAAAAGGTGAGATTAAGTAATATGGATAGAGTTAATTATATGGTTAAGTGAAGAATAAACCAATAAAAATTTGATATAAATGAGAAAAAAAACGTATGTATTGGGAGATCCTG